CCGGACAAATGGCCGTTTCGCTCGAGACATCCTCAAAACATCGGCTTCGGAGGGGACTCCGAATCAGCATTATCTTGGAATCGCTCCCGGAGGGCCTCAAGACGGCCCAAGAGAGCCTCCGAAGGCCCCCCGGGGGACCCCCTAAGCGGCCCAAGAGACCCGCAAGAGGCCCCCAAGAGGCGCCCAGAGGGCCCCCAGAGCGCCCGAAGAGGCCCCGAGACTGGCCAAGAGAGCCCCAAGACAGTCAAAGAGAACGCTCAGACAGGCCAAGAGAGACCCCACAGACGACACGCCTGGACAGTCCAAGAGGGTCAAAGAAGCCTCCAAGACGCTCCCAAAATGCTCCCTCCCAACGGCCCCAACAAGGCCCCCCAAAGGGCCCCGAAGAGCCCTTCACAGCTCACGAGGTCCATCATTTGCACCGGACGGCAGACTCACTCGACAGATTAGCGTGCCAGTCTTGGCTCAAGTCTCTTGTGGCTCGTGGCACCAGGAGGCCTGTCGGCGACAACCTGGCAGGGGTAATTATGGCGTGCTCAGTGCTGTTCGTGAGTGTGTTCGTCCTGGGCGCCTCGGGTGCTCCCGCGCCCAGCCTGCGCGGGTCGAGCCGCGATGCGACGGGGGGGAAGTGCTGCTTCAACGGGTGCGGCGACGAGGACTCGTGCGTGACGGGCTACTGCGGCTCGCGGGAGCTGTGCCTGAAGCCTCAGCCCGATGGCGGCTGCGACTCGTCCCCGCCTCATGGCCGCGGGGCCAAGCCCAGCTGGTGCCCGGCCGCGGCTCCGCAGCAGCTCTCGTCAACGGCCCCGGCCGCCGAGAATGCGACGGGGGGGAAGTGCTGCTTCAACGGGTGCGGCGACGAGGACTCGTGCGTGACGGGCTACTGCGGCTCGCGGGAGCTGTGCCTGAAGCCTCAGCCCGATGGCGGCTGCGACTCGTCCCCGCCTCATGGCCACGGGGCCAAGCCCAGCTGGTGCCCGGCCGCGGCTCCGCAGCAGCTCTCGTCACGGCCCCGGCCGCCGAGAATGCGACGGGGGGGAAGTGCTGCTTCAACGGGTGCGGCGACGAGGACTCGTGCGTGACGGGCTACTGCGGCTCGCGGGAGCTGTGCCTGAAGCCTCAGCCCGATGGCGGCTGCGACTCGTCCCCGCCTCATGGCCACGGGGCCAAGCCCAGCTGGTGCCCGGCCGCGGCTCCGCAGCAGCTCTCGTCAACGGCCCCGGCCGCCGAGAATGCGACGGGGGGGAAGTGCTGCTTCAACGGGTGCGGCGACGAGGACTCGTGCGTGACGGGCTACTGCGGCTCGCGGGAGCTGTGCCTGAAGCCTCAGCCCGATGGCGGCTGCGACTCGTCCCCGCCTCATGGCCACGGGGCCAAGCCCAGCTGGTGCCCGGCCGCGGCTCCGCAGCAGCTCTCGTCAACGGCCCCGGCCGCCGAGAATGCGACGGGGGGGAAGTGCTGCTTCAACGGGTGCGGCGACGAGGACTCGTGCGTGACGGGCTACTGCGGCTCGCGGGAGCTGTGCCTGAAGCCTCAGCCCGATGGCGGCTGCGACTCGTCCCCGCCTCATGGCCACGGGGCCAAGCCCAGCTGGTGCCCGGCCGCGGCTCCGCAGCAGCTCTCGTCAACGGCCCCGGCCGCCGAGAATGCGACGGGGGGGAAGTGCTGCTTCAACGGGTGCGGCGACGAGGACTCGTGCGTGACGGGCTACTGCGGCTCGCGGGAGCTGTGCCTGAAGCCTCAGCCCGATGGCGGCTGCGACTCGTCCCCGCCTCACGGCCACGGGGCCAAGCCCAGCTGGTGCCCGGCCGCGGCTCCGCAGCAGCTCTCGTCAACGGCCCCGGCTGCCGAGAATACGACGGCGGGGAAGTGCTGCTTCAACGGGTGCGGCGACCAGGACTCTTGCGTGACGGGCTACTGCGGCTCGCGGGAGCTGTGCTTGAAGCCTCAGCCCGATGGCGGTTGCGACTCGTCCCCGCCTCATGGCCACGGGGTTAAGCCCAGCTGGTGCCCGGCCGCGGCTCCGCAGCAGCTCTCGTCAACGGCCCCGGCCGCCGAGAATGCGACGGGGGGGAAGTGCTGCTTCAACGGGTGCAACGACGAGGACTCGTGCGTGACGGGCTACTGCGGCTCGCGGGAGCTGTGCCTGAAGCCTCAGCCCGATGGCGGCTGCGACTCGTCCCCGCCTCACGGCCACGGGGCCAAGCCCAGCTGGTGCCTGGCCGCGGCTCCGCAGCAGCTCTCGTCAACGGCCCCGGCCGCCGAGAATACGACGGGGGGGAAGTGCTGCTTCAACGGGTGCGGCGACGAGGACTCGTGCGTGACGGGCTACTGCGGCTCGCGGGAGCTGTGCCTGAAGCCTCAGCCCGATGGCGGCTGCGACTCGTCCCCGCCTCATGGCCACGGGGCCAAGCCCAGCTGGTGCCCGGCCGCGGCTCCGCAGCAGCTCTCGTCAACGGCCCCGGCCGCCGAGAATGCGACGGGGGGGAAGTGCTGCTTCAACGGGTGCGGCGACGAGGACTCGTGCGTGACGGGCTACTGCGGCTCGCGGGAGCTGTGCCTGAAGCCTCAGCCCGATGGCGGCTGCGACTCGTCCCCGCCTCACGGCCACGGGGCCAAGCCCAGCTGGTGCCCGGCCGCGGCTCCGCAGCAGCTCTCGTCAACGGCCCCGGCTGCCGAGAATACGACGGCGGGGAAGTGCTGCTTCAACGGGTGCGGCGACCAGGACTCTTGCGTGACGGGCTACTGCGGCTCGCGGGAGCTGTGCTTGAAGCCTCAGCCCGATGGCGGCTGCGACTCGTCCCCGCCTCATGGCCACGGGGCCAAGCCCAGCTGGTGCCCGGCCGCGGCTCCGCAGCAGCTCTCGTCAACGGCCCCGGCCGCCGAGAATGCGACGGGGGGGAAGTGCTGCTTCAACGGGTGCGGCGACGAGGACTCGTGCGTGACGGGCTACTGCGGCTCGCGGGAGCTGTGCCTGAAGCCTCAGCCCGATGGCGGCTGCGACTCGTCCCCGCCTCATGGCCACGGGGCCAAGCCCAGCTGGTGCCCGGCCGCGGCTCCGCAGCAGCTCTCGTCAACGGCCCCGGCCGCCGAGAATGCGACGGGGGGAAAGTGCTGCTTCAACGGGTGCGGCGACGAGGATTCGTGCGTGACGGACTACTGCGGCTCGCGGGAGCTGTGCCTGACGCCTCAGCCCGATGGCGGCTGCGACTCGTCCCCGCCTCATGGCCACGGGGCCAAGCCCAGCTGGTGCCCGGCCGCGGCTCCGCAGCAGCTCTCGTCAACGGCCCTGGCCGCCGAGAATGCGACGGGGGGGAAGTGCTGCTTCAACGGGTGCGGCGACGAGGACTCGTGCGTGACGGGCTACTGCGGCTCGCGGGAGCTGTGCCTGAAGCCTCAGCCCGATGGCGGCTGCGACTCGTCCCCGCCTCATGGCCGCGGGGCCAAGCCCAGCTGGTGCCCGGCCGCGGCTCCGCAGCAGCTCTCGTCAACGGCCCGGCCGCCGAGAATGCGACGGGGGGGAAGTGCTGCTTCAACGGGTGCGGCGACGAGGACTCGTGCGTGACGGGCTACTGCGGCTCGCGGGAGCTGTGCCTGAAGCCTCAGCCCGATGGCGGCTGCGACTCGTCCCCGCCTCATGGCCACGGGGCCAAGCCCAGCTGGTGCCCGGCCGCGGCTCCGCAGCAGCTCTCGTCAACGGCCCTGGCCGCCGAGAATGCGACGGGGGGGAAGTGCTGCTTCAACGGGTGCGGCGACGAGGACTCGTGCGTGACGGGCTACTGCGGCTCGCGGGAGCTGTGCTTGAAGCCTCAGCCCGATGGCGGCTGCGACTCGTCCCCGCCTCATGGCCGCGGGGCCAAGCCCAGCTGGTGCCCGGCCACGGCTCCGCAGCAGCTCTCGTCAACGGCCCCGGCCGCCGAGAATGCGACGGGGGGGAAGTGCTGCTTCAACGGGTGCGGCGACGAGGACTCGTGCGTGACGGGCTACTGCGGCTCGCGGGAGCTGTGCCTGAAGCCTCAGCCCGATGGCGGCTGCGACTCGTCCCCTCCTCATGGCCACGGGGCCAAGCCCAGCTGGTGCGTCTGGTGAACGCGCGTGCTGGACGCATGAGGCGTTCAATTTGTTGTTCTGTGTGCACGATTTGAAGATGCAGTAGCTGCTCTACGTACAGAAATATGTCATGCCGACGAGTGCAGTTGCTATGATAGCGTTTGCAAGTTTCAGTTTTGATTTTGTCATCTATGCGTTTTAGCCGAGTTCGATACCTAGTCGTTGCCATTGTTGCTCCAAGAGTGTGCAACATTTGCATACAGGAAGGCCGCAGGTACGTATCGCATTGCATTTGGGACACTTTTCGAACATATGCGGGTGAGCGCAATTAAAAAAGCAAACAAAAAGACCAGCGTGCCAGTCCAGCACGGCAGCGTTCTACCTTGAAGTTGAGCGGGGGAGCAGCACAATGAACCGATCGCGCGTGTGTTGGTGAGGGTTTCGGAGAGCCCCAAGAGGGCCCCAAGACCGCCTAGGCCCCCCAAGATGGCCCTACAGAGCCCCAGGACGGCCTAAGAGAACCCCGTCATCATCCTCGTCCTCCTCATGCTGAACATTCTCATTCTGTTGATCATTCCTTCTCCCTCGTGCTCGCCTTCATAACTCTCTTACTGCATGCCATTATCTTACCATACCCCTCGTTATCATCCTGCTCTTTTGCGCTGTGCTCGACGTCCTGCACGGTGTCCTCCCCATACGCCCAACGAGCTCCGCAACCAAAAAAGTGGCGTTTCCCGCTCTTGTCTGGAAAAGTTTTGGTCATGATGTACGTCGAACTGCTAGCCCCACCTCGTCGGCGCAGCCTTGCGTCTTTAGTCCTCATCCTCCTCGTTGTCCTCATCCTCCCGATGATCCTCTCTCCCTCGCCTGTCGTCCCTCCGTCATTCCTCCCCCTCTCTTTTTCCCAAAACGCTCGCCCCACGGACGCCGCCTGCCCTGCGAACCACCAGGAACCAGAGCCAGTCCTTCGACAACCGCTCCTGCTGGTGCCTGCCAGAGGCTGGCTACGATGCCTACGCGGAGACCAACGACACGTCGAAGGCGTACGACGACGGAGCGTCACCGAGCTCCACGGGTTCCCCAGTGGCCGACTGCACTTTTGCCGACACGTTCAACTCCCTTGTGATCATGCCCCAGGGCTGGGTCGGGTCCGAGACCCCCGGGTGGACTACGTCCCACTTCGCTACGATCAAGAACATCACGACGGCCATCATTCAGAAATTCAACGGCGACGCGGACAAGGTCATCGTCACGGGCACGGCCGAGGGCGGCGTTGGTGCCTTGGACTTTGCAAAAACTTACCCGGACATCGTTTCAGCCGCGATCATCACAGATGCGCCCTCTGCAACATCCGACTCGAGTTTGGACGGGCTTCCCATCTATGTCACGGCCGACGGCTCGATGGGGGACGTCGCCAACGTTGACGCTCTGGTGGTGTCCCTGAAGGGGCGCTCGTCCGGCGAGACCAAGTACACGCGGTACGCAGCGGCGCCCGCGGCAGCCGACCCAGGCTTCAGCGCCAACTACGGGCACAGCTCCGACATCATCTACCGCGACCCGCAGCTGTGGGCTTGGGCCTATTCGTTCAAGACCCAGGGCGGCCGCGCACGCTTGGGACTGGACCCGCTGCCCTTCGTCAAGATGCACTGA